TTATAGGGCTTAGGGTTTATAGGGGTTTAGGGTTTAGGGTTGTGGGCATCGAAGGATGAGGCTAAGGAATTCCTTCAGTCTCTGAGATTTGACCGGCTGAAATTAAAGACCAAGGAAACATCCTTGAAGAGTCTTACTCTATAACTGGTTGGCCCCTTAAAGCCTCTGAAAAATATTAGTAAATAGGGTCCTCTTAAAGGGGAAATATGAAATATCCCAAAGGCCTACCGAGATAAACCCTAACCCCTAGGACATCAGTACGAAGATGGTTGGGCTCTCCAACGCTAGGACCAAGTCACCACAAGTGCTGGCTCTAATGCCACATGTTCAGAAAGCACAGTACAACCCAACCAATGGTCACTAGAGCATGTCAAAGACCACGCGACATGAGATGAGCAACCGTACGGACTTTGCAAGTTGAACATTGGAATGAGCAGCTGGTCGAAGAGAAACAATCGAAACAGCATGAACACGGTAAAACATAATTAATTAATTCAACACAAGATCCGAGAAGCCAATGCACACAGGTTTTCATCCAGCCAGCGCTTTCTCATGTACATGGACCCACCTTGCGTGATCCCTCGGCCTTTGCACAGCCAGAGTTCGCAACATGTGTGAGAAGCAATTACGGCATCTTGAGCGGCTGACCAGCGAATATATCTACTCAGCGCTGTTGTCCCATCTAAGCTATTTCGAGGGCAGGGTCCTACACTTATTAGAGCCGCACAAGATACACCAGCCGACGATGCCCAGGGTTGACGTGACTTCGGGCTTACAGGCGCAATTGGTAAACCCTACATCCGCGACCGTGACGATGACATCCAAGGAGTCGCTAAATCCGGGTGAGATCCAAGCACAAGTACACGAAAGGGCAGCCCAGACCCTGATAAAATTTCAATTTCGGTATCATCCACCCGCAGTCACGCCGGGATCACAAGAAAGAGCTCAAATGCGTCTGGCCTGGTGAGGAGTTGGGGGAACCAGCTGCATCCAGGAAGATCGGCTGTATATTGCGCGATGTATGCATGCGTGTACGTGCAAGAGTATGTGCAAGCATCAACCAATTCATGTCGTTCTCTTCTTCTGTGTATGTGTATGAGTATACATATTTGCATCTGTACATATGATCACACACACAACATAAATAGATATACCTATGTATGTATGTATGTATGTATGTATGTATGTATGTATGTATGTATGTATGCATGACTATACATGTATATACATGTGTAGCTACACGTGTGTATGCACTTCTCCGTTCGTTCTTAAGCAAGGCATTTTCAAGGTTTGTGTTGGAGGAATGTACAAAGTTGGCTCCAGCAGCACATGTTGAAGGCTGACGGACCAAACTACGCAAATTCATAATCTTCTTTTGGGTTTCCTATGTTGCGATTCTGGGGCCTTGTGTTCAGCTCTGTGAGTTGAAGTTCATGTCAAAGGGTGCAATTCATGGCCCGACAAGTTCAACAGTTCTGAGCTCGGGCAATCACCTGCAGCCTGCGGGGGAACTGAAAAGGCACTGCCACTCAGGTTGACAATTAAGGGTTTAGGGCTTGGGGTTTAGGGTTTATCAGGTTGATAAATGGCCCACCACTGTTACATATATACACCCTTACAACTCTGCCAACGAATTGATGTAGACACAGTATGTACAATGTGTACAGTGCGCATTTATGTCTTTATGCGTGTATGTACATATGTCTATACATATATTGTATACATATACACGTATAACCAGCTGTTGCTGTGCTCGTTATTCTCTTTTAAACCCGCAAGACATCGTTTGAACTCAAGAAAAGACTTAGGCACTGACACCACACCTACACGCAGTTCAGGATGAGACCACAGCTGCATCTACTACGTACGATCAACCACCTACTACTCCTTGCTACTACCTGTTCCCTAAGGAACTGGAGCAGCAAAACCCCGAATTCGCCAACAGATTCCCAAAGCCGATGTCAACCTCCACAAACCCAAAACCTCAAGCACCTAAGCCTCAGCAACACCTAAACCATGCTAAACCCTAAACCTGGCGATACCTGAGCACTGAAAACAATCTGAGCGCTGGCCTCGCGGTAGCTCAGAGCGCCGTGGCGGTGCTGGAAGGAGTAGCAAAGGCCACGGAACCTCACATTCCGTGCTTTGAAGGGTTTCGGGTTTAGGGGCTCAGGATTTCAGAGGGTTTATAGGGCTCAGGATTTCGAAAGACGAGGAAGGGAGCCTGAAAAAAATTCCAAGCTTCAAGACCAGCATGGCACCGGGTAGAAACCCGACAAGCGAAGCCACAGAACTCCGACGACAAACACCCTCCTGCTTAAAAGCCTAAACCCTCCCACTAAAACAACAAAAACTCTTGCAAAACCCCCGACACTCTGCACACCCACACCCCAAACCCCAAAACCGAACCCGTAAACAAACAATACCCTCCTAGAACCCGTGTATAGCAGCCCTTAAAGAACCCTTACGGTAACCCTTGTCTATACTGAACTTGGGACCCGTGCAAAAAAACATGCAATTTTCTGTCTATCTGGATTATCGTAACCAAAACGTAATTTTCTGTCTATATTTCTGTCTATATTAATTATAGCAACCAACAATTAAGAATTATTTCGAAATGCCCCTAAGTTGGGGGTTTACGAAATTAGGAGGACCCTAACATAATTCGCCTCGGCCTCGGCCGAAGCGGTCAGAGGTTCCTATTCGGATTCCCTCTATTCCCCACCACTGACCCCCACCCCTCCAAACCACCATCGTGGGGGGGGGGGGGGGTGCCTCTGTGTGAACCCAT